TTCGAGACCCGAAATATGGTTCTCTGTAATACTTGATTACAGCACAAGAAGATTCATAATGTTTCCAAATCAAAAAATAAAACTAAAGCAAACATAACTAGATCGATATTGTTGTGAAAGACGGACAATATGTCTCCCAGTTCTTCGGGTGCGAACGTTCCGAGGACCCAATATCGACTTTTAGTAGCAAGGTTAAGCTTCCATCTTTGTGCAGCAAATAATGCGCAGCAAAACACACAAAGACCATTCATAACAGATAGTCGAATGGTTTTCTACTCAACTTGCTTTTCGTTTCGCTGAGAGCAGTCATCAGCAACTCGGTATAAGTAAGCATTCCAAGCTCCCTGCGTAACCTGTAGCTGCAAACGAAAATATTGGTCACAAAAACACCTGGTATGATGCGAAGTGCCTTGCCGCAGTGAGGAGTGGTTGCGCAACGTAGAGATCTGCCACTACAAGGAAGGGGTGCGATAGAGAAAGAGCGTGAAATGCGTGAGTATGTAGGGCTTCTGAAATTGGCTGACAATTGTAATGTTCGAAAGTTCTACGAAAATATACGGCGACTTACAAATGGCTGTAAGAGGTGAACGAACTCTTGTAGGGTCCAGAGAGGTAATCTAGTGACTAATGCCAGGGTGTACTGAATTTATGGAGCAAACTTTTCTCCAGCTTGCTGAATGGCAGTGAAAATTAAATATCAGAAGATTGCAAACCTGATTCCCCAATCGATGACAGTGGGACAGATATTTCATTGCCCGACTATGAAGAAGTTCGAATAGCAACAACTTGCCTGAAAAACAACAAAGCGGAGGAAAGCAATGGATTACCCGCCGGTGATATTCAAATACGGCTAGGCATTGCACAAGCATATTTGCAAAAAATGGGTAGATAAAAGCATGCCCGATAGCTGTAACCTGGAAAGACCAAAGACCACCGTCAACAATCCATCATTGAGCGGATATTCACCATGGAAAAGACTTGTGAAAAAAGTGTCGACACATACCACCTCGATTTTAAGGCTGCAACTACCCATTTCACTTACCAGCCGTCCATAACTGGCGACGTCAAGGCGAGATACATACACGACTCTGCTGAGAGCGGCGAAATGTTGAACAATTTCATAATTTTCGTCAACGAATTTCATAATTTATATGCTTGAATATAAACGCAAGACAAATATATGTGATTTATATGGTAACAAATAATTAGTTTCGCAAGAAATCAAAACTAAATTTCTTTTGAAAAAAACTACACATTTTCTTCGATTATTTAATGTTACTTTAAGAAAGACTATACTGGCAACGAAATGGTTTCTGCGGAATAACCGTCTCTAACGGCACGGGCAAGCGGTGACAATTTTGTGTTTACATCTCGCTCTCATAAGATAGGTTACTATGGACGGCTGGTACGTGAGTTGTGTAGTTTCAGCATAACGCAGCCTTCGACATCACAAGATGGTGCGCCTCTATTATTGGTCTGAACAACTGAGCTGTGAGTTTTGCTTTCTCCTGACTGGATAAGGAAGTGAAGGATATGGGTCTGGTAGTCTAGCTGAGTTGCGACTCAGCTCTCACATCACTGTTGACAGTCACAACTTTAAAGTTGTAGATAGCTTCGTCTATCTGGGAACCAATAACTATGTTAGCATCGATATCCAATGAAAAAGTAAAGTCCTCTCTCGGCTAACGAAAACCAAACTCTACAAGTCGCTCATCATACCTGTCGTACTATATGGTACGGAGGTTTGGAATATGACAGTATCCGATGAGACGGCGTTAGGAGTTTTCGAAAGAAAGATTTGTGATCCTCTGAGCGTTGGTACGGCGCATCCTTGAGAGGATGAGCTGTACGAAATATACGGCGGCATTGATATAGTTCAGCAAATTAAGAGAAAGCGGCTGCGTTGGTTCGATCATGTGGTCCGCGTGGATAAGAATGTTCCAGCGTTTGAAGTTTTCAATGTAGTACTCGCTGATGGAAGCAGAGAAAGAGGAAGGCCTCCACTCTGTTGGAAAACCAGGTAGAGAAGAACCTGGCGATACTTATTATTTCGAATTGGTGCCAAACAACGAAAAGATGGAATCAATGGTGCTTTGTAGGCTATAATCACGTAAGCAGTGTCTATTCCAGTAGAGAGTAAGAAGTTGTGGTCATTGTTATAATTTTAAGTAACCCAAGTTAAAAATAAAATGATATATGTACGTAATGAATTCATTATACTTTCTAAAATTAGATTTCTATTGTTTGCAGATTACAGTATTTAATACTCGTAATCATTGACGTTTTGATTTTAAATTATATTGATTTGCTAACTATTTTTTAATATTTTTCTTGCCACTTACTATCTATACATATATATATATGTATATAAAAATATGTCATGTAAATGTACATATATTTTCATAAATGCAATTTTTTCAACTCACATTGCCATGCAATTACATGATTTAACATTTAATTAACTCAACTTGCAATTATTTCAATTAAAATTGAAAAGCATTCTCAGGCGTATGAGTAACGTTCTAGAGAGGGCGTGCGGCCAACCAAATAGTCAACAAGCTAGGCAGACAAGTCAACAGCTATCTGAGCAGTCAGTCACCCAATTATGCAGTAACCACCGTCAGAATGGGAAAATTTGTGAAGGCGCAGTCGCAGCTGCAACGTGATACATGAACGCGAATCATCGCTAACTGACTAAGGCAATGTTTTCGTAAATAAATGTATATTTATTACAAAAAACAGTTACGGTATTGTAGTAACGAAATCAAATTGAAATCGCATGACACGTTTTGACAGTTTCTATGTCTTAAAATTTAAACATTGGTACCTATAAGCGCAACTATAGAATGAATTTAAATGGTTATCTGCCACCAGATGTTGAGATTTGGCGATTTCATTCTCTTTACAGAAGTTTTGAAGAAGAAAAGCTTGCTGAGCCACTTAAGTGGGAAGATCGTCAATACCTAACTTCCACTTTTTCTTGCTCCAGATTGTCATGGTTTATTAAATTAAGTATGCGGAAAATCAATATTTGAGTTTGCTCAGTTCTTTTGCGCACGGAATGTCTCCCAGCGGTCTTTACAACCACCCAGATCCATAACCAAACAATGAACCAATTTCGAAGAAAATTAAATGCATTAGAGACACTGCACACGGGTATCCCAGGTACCGTTGATTACAAATTTCACATCGTTACAATTGGTTAATTTTTTTTTACAAATTAATTTAAGGAAATAGATGCTCTTGGTTATGTTAAAAAACGAAAAGTGCCGTGTGAAAGTATGAATATGTATATATGTGTATATATTAACATATATTTTTTATTTAAAAAAAAAGTTATTGAAAAAATTCATACAAAAAATACAGTTTCTGCCAATTTACGGCTACGACTGAGAAAACATTTAAGCAAGCACCGATAATAAATTATCAGCAATCAGTCAAAAAATATATACGTACATAACGAAACAATTAACTAGCAGCTGATCGATGCACGCCACTGGCAGAATTTCGCGGAGTACCAAAAGCCATGTGAGTATGTACATACATTCATCTGTGTGTAGATACACCGGCCAATACTGTTACCATCGTGTCCACTCTCTGAAAAAGGTGAATGAAATAACAACCATAAACGGGTCTAATATTTCACTGCCGGATTTGTTTGTTTATTTGTTTTAGTAATGAGGCTCATTTCCGTTTTTAGCGGATTTTGAAAATTAAATATTTTTACGTACATATCTATAAATAAATATCAAATATATATTGTCTGTATACGTTGTACATACAAATGATCGATTAAAAATATTGCACAAGATCTCTTTGAGATGTCTGGTGTTATGCAGGTCCTTTGAAGCTCCTTTGGCGATAACGCGGAAACATTTCTTCTAGAAATGCAGAAGCATAAGCAAAGTTGGGAGAGGGTAAATCCAATTATCAACCACTAACCAACTGAAACCCACATTGATTAACTTGGTTCATTCATTAATTAAAGCAAACGGTAAGTCAGTGAATGAATGAAAAAAGGCTTAAGTGAATATTGGATATGAATGACTGAGGTTGCGGGTGCGTTGCGACTTAATTTACACACATACTTACACATGTACAAAGGTAGGTATGTATGTAAGTATGAGTTGATATGGTATGAATAATTATGCCATATACATACATGTAGAGGGTTTTCCATTTTGTGGTTTCGAAAATAAACGTAAAAAATGCATTCAAAATATTTTGTTTCATGAAATTCTTTTTCATTATAAAGTTTGGACCGTCTCGTGAATCTTTGGAGAATTCAATCCGAGGTACGTTTCGAGCACTTTTTATAACATATTGAGCGGTAGCCATAAGTTGACGAATGCTGGTTCTCAAGTACTCAAGAGATACAATATTATCCGCATGAACACGGTTTTGTGCAAAGTCCCTCGAAAAAGTCCAAAGGCGTCAAACCGCACGATCTCGATGTCGGCGCGAGTTTCTAGTAGGTTCTAACAATTTTAACGCATTGTGCGGTTGTTAAGCGACTCATTTTCATTAATGCCTGACTAAATTCTCAGTGAATTGTTACATATGTACGTGAAGCCTTTTAAGCTCGAAGGTAACATTGAAGTGAATCTGAATAACTCTGTAAGGTGCAATAGGTAAGATTTATGGCATGCTTCGAGCATTATAGATTACTCAGCACTTTACACCATTAAAAATTCGATTGTTTTTAGCAAAAACATTTTTGTTACCGGAATTACTATATGGATGTGAACTGTTTGCCAGCTGTGGCAGTCTGTGTTGTAGTAAACTCAATGCCATCTGCAATAACATCGCCAGATACGTATATGGTGTAAATCGTCGTGAGCACATAACAGCTTTTGCATTAAAATTATTTTCTATCAAATACAAGGATTTTCTGAATTAAAAGTGTCAAATGTTGCTTCACAAAGCCATTAGCTCTCAGCAGCCAAAATAAATTGTAGAACGAGTTCAATTCACTAGATCTATCCGGACATTTAACTTACTTAGCATGAAATACAGTTTCCGTGCATCAGAGCGTCGGTTCTTTGTTTTTGCTGTTCGCCCTTGGAACCCTTTGCCACAAAGGATGAAAGATATTGGAAGTACGTTGCGCTGAAAAAACGAACTCTTACAGCACTTTGCATAATCAATTCATTGCTAATTTGCACCCTCATTTATATTTTTGCACAACTTGTAAAAGTGAACCCTAAACTTATTTTCATGTTTGGAGAGAAAATAAAAGTTGTAATGTTATAATTAAGATATTAATATTATGTTTTATTTTAAGCTTTTAGAATGAAGCATAAGTTCAAGCATTGCAAATTAACCTTTGCTTTTCTGTTAGAATAATTACATAAATAAATAAAAAAAATAAATAAAATAAATAAATAAATAATTGCAGCAAAACAAGTTTGGTTTGACTGTGCTTATACTATCGAAATCATGAAACGGATGAGCCTATATATATGTATATATAGATATGTATGAATGCATATATATTATATATATATAGATATATATCAATGTCGGTATGAATCTAAACGCATAGTTTTGTCTTGTTCGAGTTGTTTTGGTCATTGTTGATTTGCTACAGTAGTGAATTTCATGTATAAATTAAATAATAAAGACATCTATGTGTTAATTTATTAATAAATGTAAAACATTTCTTTTATTGTACTTACAAATTCATTACGGTGCGCTGCCGTAGTCGAATGTTGGCTGTTGCCGAGAGACACTCAGGCGACAAAACAATATTTACATGGATTAAGTGATAATATATTCATTTTTTAAATATATTTAAATACGATTCACAGTGAAACACACATGTTCACATACATGTATTTTTAGAAAAAAAAAATTGATTTTCTTTTTACGGAATTCAGAATTCATTGTCGTCTAAATCTTTTGAATAGGTATTCCAACGAAGACAGTGATGCTTGCAGCAGTTCTTTGAGAGATGATTAAATATTAAATATAAAGAATGCGTGAGTAAATCTAATTATTATTATTTCATATTGTCGATGTCACACTCAGGACTGTCTGAATCTTTTAAGCGAAACAACTAAATTGCCAAAAAAGCCGAAAACAATAAATAAATTTTAAAAGTTTAAAGGCAACAAATAATTTATTTCTGTTTTTTTTTGATGGACAGAAAAATACACGCAAGAAAATAGAAACTTCTTACACTTCAAAATTAAGTTTTGTATTCTTCTGTCACAACTTTTGAGAGAACTATATCTAGTACAATTTCAGACCCTCTTCATCTTCTTCTAGTATTGCAAATCTTTTCTTTCGAATATCTACTATAATATATATATTTTATATATCTATAAAAATCGTATATTTCTAAATTGTTCTACAGCTCTGCCATCCCCTTCAAAGTAGTCTCCTTGGGTAGCTATACAACGATTCCAGCGCGTTTTCCATGCTTCGTAACATTACTGGAACGCTTGACTGGGATGTCCGCGATTACCCTCGTCACGGTCGCCTCAAAATGGGTTCCTTTGACCAACGATTTTGTTCTAGGGAACAAAAATAATCACAGAGTGACATATTGGGCGAATAAGGCGTTTGTTGCAACACTGCAATCCCTTTAGATGCCAAATACTGGTACACGCTGAGGGTGGTCTGGCACGGCGCGTTGTCGTTATGAAGTATTCAGTTACGAACGATGTCTGAGCGCACCCTGCACCCGGCGTCCTTAAACTCTGTATGCAATCGAAACACCTGGGCACAACTAAGAGCACTATCATGATGCACTTTCACAATTTTAGCGTACGTTTCCCAAGCTGTTTCCATTTTCGTGACGAGCACCACGAGCACACGTTTACTCAACACGATACAGCAGGCGAACTTAACAAGCTAGAGCGATGGTAAATATAGATCAATGGAGAGGAGAGGGATGCCGGGAGAAGAGAAAGGGAATTTCAAGGTCGCAGGTTTACCACAACCACGGCAATATAATCAGTCTCATTACTTGATTGCCACACCTCGTACGTTGTTTATAGAACTCACCTTTCGTTAGTTATTAAGGACAAAGTCTCTTTTTTAAGTAGGTAGATAATCATTTGATACAATTTCCTTAATTTTAATTTTTCTTTGTAGTTTTTTGTTTCTGTTTCAATATTCTTCATATTATGAGTATTTTGGGAAGCAATTTCTTCAACTTTCTTAGAATATCTACAAAAAATATATGAAAAAGTATTCAATTCGAACTCTTATTCACCAAAGATGGTGTTGTTGTTTTCAAAATTTTCAAGCGCCGCAATTAAGAATCAGCAAAAGGTGTTTCAGACCCATAAATTGTAGCACTGGTCACAATAGAACTATGGGTCCTGAAGCTCCCGCCATCAGCCACTTCAATATCGTCTGCTATAAGCTATATTTGTATGTCACTCAATTTTCCATTTGGCGTATAAATAAACAAATCCTAAATATGTATGAGCCTTATTAATCTCATTATCTTAATATGCATGATTAGCGTTTAATCTAGCATATTTGTTTTTGGTGATTTCATATGTCTTAGGTCAGTTTAAACATTTTTGCCAAATAAATATATGCACGTACGTGTATGTATGTGTATGGAATGTAACTTTGTATTGTTTGCTTTATTTAAACAATCATTTGCACATTTTAGATACGAAAATTGGTCAATTATAAATATTATCTACACACGTTCACTCTCGTACAAACATACATACATACATACGAATCTACTGATTTGTCTCATCAATGATGAGTGACGACGTCCAGCGCAACCGAAATGCTCACAGAACGATGTTTCATTATCACCTGCGGTAATTATGCATTCAGCTCGCATCTTCATTGAATTAGATTTCAGTTAGCTGTATATGTAGATATGTATTTGACTCGTACATACGTAACTATAAAGGAATATAAAAAATATAAAGCTGTTTTCATTAAATTGTGTGGTATGTGGGATGGTTTTATTTGTTTATTTTCCATAATACTTTTAGCTTAAATTTTTTTTATGAATCAATAAGACATTTGCATTTGCATTTGCATTTGGATCGACACACATTTGCAGAAAAATAAGAATGTAAATTTATTTTATGTAATATTTGTTTTTGTTTTAATTTTTTGCTTTGTTTAATTTTTGATTTAGATATGCATACTACATGCCTGCTTATACATGTTCGAACACACATACGTAGGTAAGTATATATGTATATATGTATATTACCTTATTTCTACCGCTGATCGAAAGTTATTTGCATTAACTTGCCTTAAAATTATTCTACATTTATCAATTCATCATTTCCCATACTCGTTTGCTATGTGCCCCTAAGTGTTGGTATGTATTAATATATGTAATGTTTATAGCAAAAAGATTCGTTTAAAAAGTCGCTCTCGGGCATTAATTAGCTATTGGCATTATTAATAAAACGTAATTGACTCTCTAGTGACGTATATTAATTGAAAAACGTGATTTCGATTCAAGTACTAAGTACTGCGATAAGTGAAATATTTATAGATAATTACTTATGTTTGTACATACATATGTATGTGTAATTGGAGTTTGCAAAATATGATATTTATAAGACAGTGTTAATGAGAAACGGAGAACTTGTTTGAATCTAAATTTTTTTTCAAGCACAAATTTAAAATAAAAAAAAAGTTACGGGTAAACAAATGTACTTCATCACACGGTTTCTATTAAAATAACTCATTTAATGTTTATATAAACGTAGATCATAACAATTATAGACGTAAAAGTTTTGGTAATTTCTAAAATTTCGCGATATTCTTAAATAATAAATTCTACCATTTATGTAGCTCGTTACAAGTGGTTCTGGCTCGAGATTACGCCTTCAGAGGAATTGTAATTCACTGTTATAAAATTTGGCAATCAGCTGTCGCTTTGATTTCGTCACTCTTTCGATTTATTTTTAAAAGTGCATAGCAAGTAATTGGTTGAGTTTAATAATTCTCGAAAATTTCGGAAAAAAAGGCGCGTAGGTTATATATAAAAAACAGCAGCTGGATGTAGTTTTAAGAGAGATATAATAGCTTGCGAGATCCCCTCGGTGGGCAGGAGTTCAAATATAGGCTTAGAAGCTGGATTTTTGGTTGTTGAAAAACGAAAATTAATGGCAGCCCTGACTTGGAAGCCTTCCCAATCTACGAAATTCTCGAAGAGAAGCCGAATCTCAGCGAAAGATGATTAACAATTTTAAATTTATTTACATATATATAAAGGGTGATTTCTTAGCTATTATCTCTTTGGCAACACTGGTTTAAACAGCTGACGCACGTTTCGTGTTTTGTATCAGAGTCAAACATCTTCAGTTTGGTCTATAATTTTACCATCAATCGTTTTACAAACGAACAACGCTTGCAAATTATTGAATTTTGTTATCAAAATGCGTGATCTGTTAAGAAAGTTCATTGCATTGCATTGTGTTCAGCGACGAAGCTCATTTTTCGATTACTGGGTGCGTAAATAAGCAGAATTGTCGATTTTGGAGTGGAGATCAGCCAGAAGCATTGCAAGAGCTACCAATGCATCCAGAAAAAGTCACAATTTGGTGCGGTCTACGGGCTAGTGGCATCATTGGATCGTATTTCTTCAAAGATAATGCGAATCGTTCCGTAACTGTAAATGGTGAGCGCTACCGTGAAATGATATCAAACCTTTTTTTGCCCAAAATGCAAGAGCTTGACTTGTATGACATGTGGTTTCAACAAGACGGTGCCACATGCCACACAACTCGTTTAACAATAGACTTACTGAGAGACGAGTTCGGTCAACATTTTATTTTTCGTTGGAAAGAGTATGTCCAAATTGGACTAAGTCATGGCCAATGGAAGGACCATTTGAGCCGCAGCCACAGTCAACATTTGCATAAAATAATCTTCAAATAGTAAATTACATGGACAGTACAGATTAGGTCTACCGGAAAGTTCTGTCCGAATCTATCAATCATTTTTGCCATGTAAGCACAAGTACATTTATTGCGAGTTCGGCTGTATTTTTGTATGACTTAATGTGTACATACTGACTTAGAAAATAAACTGATAGTGCCTCTTTTCTGGGCAATGTTGGAGCAAGATCCTTTTTTGACAACATCAGAGATCGCAGAAATGCAATTATATTAGTCAATTAAGTTTTTTAGCTGACGAAAAAATATGTATATTGTTTTATTCCAAAAACGGACAGAAATTTCCGGTAGACCTATTTTATGCCGAGGGGCAACTGTTATTTTATAAATAATCTTAATTTTTTATTTAAATTAATTTTCAATAATTTCGCAGATATTTATCGGACCATTACTCAAACCGTTTCCTTCTGAATGGGAGAACGCACTGGGGAGAACTCGGCTATCGCAGCAATTCACCTTTTTCATGGACAACCGACTTGAGTGAGGATGGAGTAACCCTGCCAAGTGAAGAAATGTTGTAAATGTTGTAGTAGGTGACTCCACTGGAGGCAATTTTTGTATCCACTGAAGGAATATACACCCAAGAATAATATCGAAAGATGCATTCGATGTGTCGTCTTATTGGCTAAAAACTTTGTTGAGATCTTAGTTGAGTACTTACCTTTCGGTCAAACATAAATTTGTTTTCTGTTGTGTACGAAATGTGAGTATAAAATTGGCTCATATTGTAGGAAGGAAGTGTTTAAAAAATAAAGGGTTTGAAGTGGGCTTTGATTATTTTATGCCTTTGACCAATTTAAACAAGTGTCAATTCCTTCGAATAAGCATGTTTCATGCCTTCAGACCCAAGTAATTTTTCTTGAAATATTTCATACAGCTTTTTTAATGGTTTAGTTAATACTGTAAGAAGAAAGGCTCAAAATTTTTTCTCTTAAGATAGACTTTATAATTAATAATGTTCACGAAATTATTTATATTTATTCGATACTTACTTACTGTACAAGTTTGAATAATGTCTATTGAGGAATTTCTCCTCAATTTAAAAGCCAAAGATCTTATAGGATTATAACAAAGTAAACTGAAAGGTTTAAATAAGTCGAAGTTCCCTCCTTCTGAAAATCACGATTCTGAAAATTCGAGAGGTTTTATAAGTCCACAACTTTATGAAAAGAGGATAATCGGTAAAATTTAGATAGATTGCAGTAAATTACAGTGAGAAGTGGCGCATCGCAGAGCCAGCGCTTAGCAATAGCATA